GGTGAATAGAACAACCTTCAATGGATCATTCTAATGAGCAGCAAAACAGGTACAGCAATTCGTAGTAAATACGTGCTGGAAATAATTTGCATATGTGTCTTCATTTGGCAAAAACAAAAACGTTTTTTCAAAAAGCATGGCTGGGATGCCAGAACTTAGTAAGACATTTTTAATGCAAACAGCAACAGAAACCAGCTTGTTACATTTGTTACAGGCTTGTTACAGGAACAAATTATCTACCATAACAGTGATGTATTTTTTAATGCTAATTATGCTCTAAGTGACCTGGATCAGCTAGTTACTCTCTTAATTGAATTGATTGATTATCTACTCCCAGTTTTTTTAGGTGCTGCTGATTTAAGAAGCCCTGGAGAACCTGCGGACACTCTGGCTCTCCACGACCAGCACTCCTGATCTGTAAATCATTCCATGTATCTATCGATTCTCTTTCTTTGCTCTTATTTTATTTATGCAAGAGGTTCAGTGTGAATAGGATTCTTCATAGGACTTTGCATTGGGGTTCTTGTGCACGTAGTTATCGATGATCAGAATCTGGCTCTTCACCTTGGCTGTCCAGTCCTCCTCGATATATTTGTGGTAAGGGTCGTCGGAGTGCTCCCTTCTCTTGGACTTCACAGTGCTCACCAGGATGGCCACGATAATGAAGGCGAACATTCCGATCATCACCATCAGGTACCAGATGACGTTGTCGAAGTTCTCCTCTGCCAAGATCTTGTCCAGGGCCTTGGCAGCATGGGTCTGATTCCTGCTCCAGCTGTTCAGAACCTTTGTCAGGGAGTCCTCCAGGCTCTTGGTGAGGTTGGCAATGGCTGCCATCGCCAGAGGCCGAACTGGGAACATGTGATCGAGAATGTGAATGCAAAAGCAATAGAATCTGTGCTGAATATGGGGGTGCCTGGCCCTGCTCCCACAGGGCTGACCTAGGTTGACAGGTTTCATCCATCTGGGATCAAAGTGAAGATGAGCAAAGTACGTTCTGCAATTTGGTAATCAAGGGTTCAGGCAGAATAGAGACCTGGAGAGTGCAGCTACTGAGGAGCTGAGCTAAACACTGAAATTATTAACTGAGAGATGTTGTTAAAAATAGATATTTAAACTCACCTTCGTACTTATAGTGTAATCTGGCCAATCAGCCCTCACAACAGGGCTACTCCACCTGTGGTCCTGCTTATACACAGATAAGGAAAATTCTGCGACAGCCAGCTAGACTCTTCTTTTACAGGTACAAGTAATAGGTTTATTCCGTGCTGAAAAAAAGAAGAAAGAAAACACAACATTTCGGCCGTGGAGCCTTCTTCAGAATGCAGAGCAATGGAAACATCTCTTCATTTAATTTAAAGTATATATCGTCATCACATCACTTAACATCGCTTTCAATTGCCACTTTTCCAATTCAGGGTCATGGTGGCCCAGTGCCTGTCACAGGAAGCACTGGACTCAAGGTGGAATACTCCCTGGACAGGATTGCCAATTTAATAATTAATAATTGCTTACACTTACATAGCGCTTTTCTGGACACTCCACTCAAAGTGCTTTACAGGTAATGGGGACTCCCCTCCACCACCACCAATGTGCAGCATCCACCTGGATGATGCAACGGCAGCCATAATGCACCAGATTGCTCACCACACATCAGCAAATAAAGTATACATTATATCGTGAAGCAGTGAACAAGTTTATACAGTATGAGAGGGCAGTTGGTGGCGGAGACTCTTAGGAACTACATTCAGCAGAAGTCAATGTGGACTGATCTGCAGTCCTTGGCCACCTGACCATCTGGTGGAAGACAATTGGTTGGGTGACATTTAAAGCCAGGAAGCTGTGGCTTCCAAGGTTCCGCTGGAGTTTCCTGGCTAAAAAGCTGGAAGAGCTTCTGTTATGTGACTAGTGAGGAGCTTGTTAGTTTTGGTCCGCTCGAGGGGATGTGTAGACCTACAGACAAACCTGAGTACCAAGTGATGTCCATCTAAGTCACCCGGTCAAGACTCCCACTCACCATCAGAAGGGCACTCCTATTTTTTTTATCTTCCCAGGGGTTGCAAAAATGACATTAGGGGACCTTCTGGTGGCAGCACTAGAAACAGTACAAGGCAATCCTCACACTCCTGTACAGATTCTGGACAGTGTGTGTTGCTGCTCCACCATCACTGCTAAGTATTCATTGTCTTAGGATTTGTGCTCACTGTGTTAACTTTGAACTTGTGAATTAATAATTCATGACTAAGCTCATTCAGGATACAGTCAAGCTAATGTACACATACTGTTTAAATATCTTTTAAATCATAGCCTTTCCAGACTTAGTCTATATCCTGTATTTTATGTCATGCACAAACTGTTTGTGATATCTGTAGACTCCTCTTTCCTGTGCTAGAGAACCATTCCTGTTAAAAATCTTAGAAAAGCTATTTTCACAGATGAAGACAAAAACATTATGTTGCATCAAGCTTTCAAAAACAGCTTTGTGAGGAATTATAATAATTCATACATCCCTGGGAATGCAGAGAAACCAAAGGGGTTTAAAGGTACATTCAAACTAGAATACAAGAAAAAAGGTGAGCCAATGCCTTTGCTATTTACATTATTGCTTAATCAACATCAGAATGACAACTTAACAGACATGCATGAAGTTCATAGGTTGCATTGTATTATTATTCTCTTTACAGGTGTCTATTTAGGAGGTCCACTTCAACCTCTCAGCAGTAGTAACTTTTTATTTATAATACCAGTTACAGAAGCTTTTTAGTAAGAAACACCCACAAAAAGATGATAAAGATGATACCGAAAACAAATTAACACATGATTTTCTTAAAGCACTCTTGAGCCCTGTCTTCAAACAGAGGGACATGGTTAAACTTCAATACAAATACAAGTCAATGATATAGACAGGCTTCCAATAGGGACCAGGAACTCTAAAAACACACCATTTTAATACAAGCCCCCTAGTTATTTCAAAAGTACAATCATTCAACAGGAAAACAATCAATGAACTCAAGACAGAATATGTTAAAAAGCCACTTTGGTGGCCCCTAGTAGCAGCCCTGTTGTTAACACACCCCTTCAGTACCAGTCTAGGGGCACTCGGCGACAAGGTAGAGTAATGGTTTTAGTAGACTTCAAACAATTTCACTGTGATTAATTTAGCAAGTGACTTGTTATATTAATTAGCCCAGAGATTATTTGGGAACAATCTTACAACTCTTCATCCCTAAAGAAAACAGCATTCTCTTAACTGAACAGAAAACCCATCAACGTCTCATGTGTTCTCAACCTTTAGAGGTAAATAACCAACTCTCCAGGTGTCTGTTTAAAATAATGGGCAATTCAGTCACCATTCATTATAAATCTTAACAATATTACCAGTTACTTGCATGCCTTCAGAAATCAGGACATACATCTAGCAAATTCCTGAATAATCCCTGAATATGAAATTTGTAGCTATTATTTCCACATATACTCTTTTTATTTAATTTTATGGTCATGTTTTCTGGGATGGAAATACATTTGTACACAGTAGGTTTCCAAGTTTATAATTAACTGGATCTGTATCCAGTCTGTAAATACTGCCATACCACTGAAGCACTGAAAGCACCTTACCACACAAAAGCCTGACCTTGAGGTAGTTACAGTCACTGAGGAATGACTGTAAACCGTTATTGTTTGCTTCTTGTCTTTTGTTTCAGAAGAAACTGAAAGAGGATAAAGACATAAACATTAACTGTTTTTAAGCACATGCAGTACAATGATTCAGGAAATATTAGTCGTACTTTTTAGTATTAAAGTTCTGACTGCTGTTTTAGTGCAACACTCACTTTTTTCCATTTATTGCATTTAAATAGGACTGTGCAATCTCTGATTTTATATTTCACTGACAAAAACAATTTGTTTGAAAGGTGAAACCACTCTGCAAATACAATATTAGAGCATAGACAGTGCAGACTTCACTAAGTTGTATTTTTTAAGTTCAAAGACATCAAGAGATATTATCCCAAACTTCAGACACCGAATTTCGATATAGGTCGCCTGTAAGTGTCGCTGACTGTGAGCTGTTCTTTCCCAGCCGAACGCTGAATATAGCACTCAGAAGTATTTATTGAAAATATCTGTTATTCAACTTACTCTGTCAGTGACAGAAACAGGAATCACAGCCAGTCTGCCTTGAAGACTTGGTGTAAAATGAGTAGTTATTCTTTGACCAGTTACCGAAAAACGTTAGAAAAAACACTCCCCTCAGATTATTTGTTCTGTTTTTTTTGGTATTTAATTTAATCTTGTGTTTGTTCAAATACCATGTAGAACGATAAAAAGTAGTGTTATCTGACTCTGAATTCTTCCTCTCCATCACCCCCACCTCCTCGTCTGGGCTAGGGAGGGAGTTAGTAACTTTGTATAAAGCAAAATTGGCACCAATGCATTTTTCAAGGTTGTCTGTAGGATCTCTGTTCAGCTGACTCGCTGAGCATGAAATGCATTGCTTTGAACAGAAAAAAGTGTGGTGCTGCAACAGATATTGAATGATCTAAGCGGAATTGATTTTCTTAAGTTACTAAAATAATTTAAGAAATTCCAAACTAAATCTATGTACTGACTCAGCAATAAAGACAGCCCCAAGCTGTCTTTCTATTTCCATCTTAAATGTCATAAAATTATTTACGGCAACATATGAATGTGTGGGTTGGAGACACACTGGAAAGATTCCTTGTAAAACAAAAGCTACTTACTACAGCCTTCCACCCATTTTCCATAACCTCTTGGTCATGGAGACCCGGATGAACTAAAGTCAGGTCACTACTGGGCCATATGTATACTGACTTTGGACACACATTCTTTGTCAGAATGTTTATCTGTATTATCTGTTAGCTGTGGGACATAAAATTGACTATAATTGATTACCACACCTAATCCTTTTCTTGAGTAGTATCACTTGATGTTTAAAGCTATTATACTTTCTCCAATTATTATCTGTATTGTGTCATTAAGTTAGGGTCTGTCTATAGAAGGAACACATGCCATTTCCATTAATTCAGTTCTATAATGAATTCTATTCAGATTACACTGCAGGCAATTTACACCAGAAATCTGTCTTTAAGGGATTAAACTATGAATATGAAAAAGTGCAGTAGTTTAAGAAATTGGATTAAATTCAGTCTGCTCTCCTTGGCTGATCCTCTGTGTTACATTGTAATCTTCATTACAAGCCATAAGAAGAGAGCTTTAATTTAACCACAGCCATTTTCACCTGGACTTATTTTACATTGATGGCTTCATAAAGTCTAATGACCTGATTATTTTTAATTCCTTAACTAACAAAAACATCCCATAAATGATTGCATTAAGAAAAGGAGAACACAAGTCAGACAAAAATCAGAAACACCTGAGCTGTTAAGGACCAGCAAATCCTGTTTGCTCACAGTACAGCCAGTGGTTGTACTGGATACTACCTCCAGACTCAGGGCTTATGATGATATTTTTTCATTTACAAACCTTTAAGCAATGGAGGAGCGAGACACAATTAGAAAAACCTGCTGGGCTGTGATTCTCAGTGGCCATCACTGCAGTAGAAGACCACTGACGTTGTTGAGAGACTCCATTAATGACCAACAGCTTCCACTAGATGGCAAAACAGAGCTA